ATTTCCAAAAAATAATGGTTCCCTAAATGAAAGCATTTATATTCCTACAGCTCTAAGGTAAACATTAAAAAGAAAATACAAAAAATGATCTCTTGGTTTCTGAATAGCTCACTTAGTTACATAAAAGTGTTTTCTGTTCCAATATTTTATCAATTTCAAAAGATGCATATTTCCTTCAAACAGGACAAAAAGAATCTTCATTTCAAACTGTCAGTCTGTTTCCATGGTAACACTGTTGAACTCCTTGGCTACCATAAGTCACATCAGCTGACTGTGGAACTTCTCAATCTTCTTTACATCTTGAGCTTGATCTGTTCAGTAAACCAAACAAATTAAATCATCTGTTACTTTAATACACAAATTTCCATTAATGTGCCTATATTTGAGAACCACTCGTGCCCTCATGGGGACTGCGAGGTAGAGGTCCTGGGCCGCGCTGCTGAACTCCCAGGTCTGATACTGCGGCATCTCGGCCCGGACTTGCACTCAAGCTGCTAGCGGCCGCTGCAACCGCCCGAAGCCACAGCGCTCTCTACATGTGTTTTCTTTTTGTACATTACCTTCTTGCCTAAAGATGGGCAGTTCCGGGCTGCGTGTGGGATCTATGTAAGGTTTGGGGTCATAAAGTTGGGCAAACTATGTACTTATAGCCAAATTTCATTTGAGTTTTTGCTTTTTATCTTAAGTTTTAAACTTTATTAGTACCTATATGTCATATATATTGATCATATTCATAATAGGGAATTTATATCTGTACACACTATGTATTTTTAACTGAAAAATCTTTATTGTAAACATTCCCAACATAATACATGATGACACATCTTCCTCTTAGGTGGGATCCTATTTACTCAGGAGGCTGAGACGGGAAGATCACAAGTTTGAGCCCAGCATGGGGAACTCAGTGAGACTTGTTTAAATAGTTTAAAAAATGTCTAGAGAAATAGTTCAGTGAGAAATTCTTGGGCTAATTCTCAAGCAAATGAGCAAACAAACAAACCTCCTGTAAAAGCTATGCTGCTAGAAAAACTGGCTTTCATATGCTGAAGACAAAAATTAGGCCCATGTCTATCCCCATGCATTAAACTAAAATGAACCAGCTACCCTGCGCCGGCAGGACCTACTGGTTCCAGCCCAGGTGCAGCGTGGGTGAGACCCTTTTCCACCCCCTTGGGATGCCCCCCACCACTCCGCAGCACCTCCCCTACAGCACCTGCCCAGTAGAAATTTCTGCCGCGTTCCGGGAACTCCCAGATCCCGTCTTAGCCTAGGCCAGGTGAGTGTGTGGGAGAGCTTCCGCCTACCCTGTGATGGCGTGACCTACTGGTCCCAGCCCAGGCACAGCGTGGGTGACACCCTCTTTCACCCTCTTGGAATGCCCCCATCACTCCATTGTATGCCCCCTCCCACCCACAGAGTAGGAATTTCTGTCATGTTCAGGGAACCCCCAGATCCAGTCCTAGTCCAGGCCCAGTGAGTGTGTGGAGAACTGCCTCTCCCCCAAACTCCACCTTGTCCCCTCCAGACTCAGCTCAGGCCTGGTATACAGGCCTGGGGTGAAACTCTGCAGCTGCAATCCCTGCAGAGAGTGTAGGGGACAGAACCACCCAGCTAGTCCAGGAGCAGAACATCTTGCCAGAGGGCACTACAGGTTCACCCCTAAGGGCGGCAGCAGCAGGAAGGAGCTGAGCACAGCAGCCAGACCCAAG